TGTTGGCTTACCTTCATCTTTGTATAAAGGGTGGTTGACTAGTCTGCTAGGCAAGGGAAGAAGAGGATGGAAAAACTGGAAGAAAAAGATAGCAAACAGAGTTGAAAATGGAAAGAGTTTGCTACTATGGTCAAAGAGCAGCAATGAAGACCTCATGGATAGATCTAAACCCTGTGAGGAGGTTTAGGGCTTGCAATAATTATGCGGTTTAACTTCACATTTCATTAAAAAATTAGCAATATTCCTACAATTGATGAAGTAGATGTGCATTCAGACCATTGTTATTCACCCAATTTTCACACATTATGGATTCATACCAATGTATTTTTATAATTTAATCTATACAAGAATCGCGTACAAATCTTATGCTGGGTTTTTAGACGGTAAATCAAACGGACGTTTAAAACTAATGTACATTATGTCGTATTTGACACATTCAAGGAACAAGTTGAAAATTCTTATCTTTTAGAATATAAATTAAAATTTTGAGCATCTTTCAGAGTGCAGGGTATAAACTACGATTAGCCCTAAACATAAAGCGAAAAATAGTTAAAATGAGGGAAGGTGCATAGGTGTACACAACAACACGCGCTTAAACAGGAGTGTTGGACAAAACTCTTGGTTTAATGATTACGATTATGAATTCGATCGCTATGAATTCGATTTGCTTTAGGGTCTCCTGTTGCGGCGTTGCTGTGAGATTTGGCGTATCATGGTCTGACACGTGTTCATTTATGCCCTTTTTAATTGGTTTTATTAGTGTCGTGTTTGTCTGGAAACACTAATGTTCCGTTTAATAGGAATGATAGAAAATAAAAAGAATACATTTTTTATCCTTTAAGAAAAGAAAGTAAGAATGATATATTTTTCTTCTTTTGTGTTTGGTTAGATGAATGAAAAATAAAAATAACTACCTTTTTTTTGTGCTGGTGGTTAAGATTAGGGAGGATAATCGAATAGTGTCGTATCAGATTTTTGTTGACTCATGATGGGTTTATGTCGAACATTAATCACACCTAACTCAACTCATTTAACTAATTGTATCGTGTCGAGTTACGAGTTAACCTGTTTATAATCGTGTTCGAGTTAATCAAATTCGTGTCATAAAATTCGTATCGAATTCGAATCGTGTTGAGTCAAAAAATTTTACTTCTGGTTAAAATGGAAAAAATAATTTTTTAATTTAAATTTTTTTTATTATTAAATTTCTACATGAAATTAATATGTATATAATATATGTATATATAAAAAGATATATAGACAAGTAAGATAGATCTCAACACAGATAATTAATTTTCTATTCATTTTCTCTCTGATTTTAGAGGAATTAATTTGGGTGAGTTGGAAGGAAAATTAATTCATCCATTTTTTCATCCTTCCTATTTTACTTCTTTACGAAACATGATATTTTATTTATTCCTCCAACTTTTCATCTTTCTATTTTTTCATCGTATCACACAGAGCATAAACACAAAAGTGTAGTCCAAATCTTTTTTTGTCTGCCTGCTAAAAAGTTATATTAGTTAGTGGAACTTTATGGGTTTTGATACTTCACCACTTACTATATTTTTTTAATGCCCATATGCATACAGTATATAGTTTAGTGGTGTAAACCCACCCCCCACCCCCCCACCCCCAAAAAAAAACAAAAAAAGAATGGACCCCACTTAAAATGACTTTTTAAATGTCTATTTATAGTAGTATACACATTGGTGGTGCACAATAATTGGTGTTGCCAAAAACTAAATGGAGGAAAAAAAGCTCGACAGGATCTCTTTGTGGGTAACTGGTAAAAATAAAATATCTCATCGACCACTCTTTGTGGGTAACTCATAGAAAGTAGGATATCTTATCAACGACTTTAAAGTACTTGTGATGGATCAATAGCCCTTATTGATTTAAGAAAAAAAAAATGTTGATACAGTAAACGGACCCAAAAGAATTTATTCTTTTATTTAATTGAGATTTTGCACATTTGATCTTTTTTAAACTTGTTAATAACTGAAGTTCACACCTATAAATTATTCTACTATGATGCATTGGATGGTAATCACTGGTTGACATATTATTTTGATTAAATAAATATAGAGTATGATAGCTTGGTATCCATTACAAGATACACGTCTTTATCATGGAACTATTTGTTTAGGAGCCGGCCAATGAGCTAATTCATATGATTTGATGGTGTCATTGCTGTCATCCGTTGAATTTCACATTGACAATCTTTTATTGGATTCAAGTTTTATTTTATTTTTCTAACTTTGATGTATCCAAATTAGTTGTTGGTTAGTTGTATAATGTGAAGGAATCTTTTATCCTCTAGTGAATAATATACCTTTTCTTTTCTTTTCTTTTTTTAATTTTTTTTTGTTCAACAGTTAGGAGTGTCTGATTCCCTTAATTTCTTCTTGTCGTGCCTCGACAATTATAATGTAACATTATATAATTTAGTATACAAGACTCGTCGTTACGTTATTTAGAAATGATTATATGCGTGTCATTTTGAACTATTAGCATACTCGAATCTTAAAAATGAGACGCCCAAATCAAAATCTAATAATACTACTATGGGATTTATCACTCTTGACTATTTTAATTTTTGCGTGCATAGTCTGTCTTTGATCGAACTGGAGAGATGATTAATTAAAATATCCGAAAATTAACGCGAATACCTCTTACTATTAAACTAAAATATAAATAAACCAAAAAAAACCTATTTCCTCAATTCAGTGTGTGGTTAGACCTACCGACTTTCGTCATGAACTTGTTCCTTCACGGCTAGGTCACTAAATTATAAACTTGATAATATTTTCCGACCTACTTAGGTGGGATATTATAGGGTAACATTAGCTTTGAGATGAAATGTTCTTATTTGAATCGTACATCCCTGTTCAAACAAAAAAAAATTAAAATCCAAATAATAATTTTCAATTTAAAAACAGTCACACAACTAAAATTATGTGTTTTTTTTTTTAATCTAAATTTGAATTTTATTAAACAAGATCAGTCGTGTCACCAACTCAAGAATTCAAGTTGAGTATATACATCAAACATGCGCGCACACACAAATGCACTATCATTAATCTTGGAATTAGACAACCCTTGTGTCTTTTGTCTCTCACTCTCATTCCCATCTATGCACTACCAAGATCCGACAGCAAAAACGACAACTAGCCGTAGCTACCACCAAATTAAATTTATGAGTCTTTTTTTTCCCGTCCACCCAACCAACTAGATTAAATTAGCCAAATTTAGACAAGCCAAAAAAACCCAATAAACTTTAAATATCCAAGCGTGACCCTATACACAGGACAAATTTTACTTCTAAAATAACATCTTAAGTGGAAAACCAACCTAAATGAGAAATGAAAGATGATGCTATTGGGTACTATTGTTGTTAAAATAAGCAACTTCTAGTTCTAGCACAGCATTTAATGTTTTGTGTAATCTTACCTATGGCCTTACATAAGAACAAGATCCTTCCTTGTCTCCCATTGCTTTATCAAGTAATTAGAGGGATGTGTTTGCTTAAGGTCCAAGTATTATCCAAGTATTATAAGCCAAAAATATTGTTAAATAATAATCCACCAATGAGTTCAATTAATTCATTCATTAATTGCCGACCCCATGTGATTGATTTATTATAATAATGATGGCTTAGGAATACCCACTTTTGACTAATCACGGCCCTCTTCTTCCCTCTATTAGAACAATACAAATATTTTTTTAATTACCATTAGCAACGACTTTCAAACACCAGTTTTTGCTTTGATTGAAGCTAATCAAGACACTCCCATTTAGTCACAAGCAACAAGCTATTCCATACTAGAACAGCCCATAAAGTTATGGAGTAAGGGATGACTATCAGGTTGTGTTAAATGCATGTATAAGTCGTGTTTAAATTATATAATTTATACTCGACCCATATAATTCTTCTCAATAGCGTATAAGTCAAGTTCAGACAGAAAAGATATCTAATCGGATTTTTGTTGACCGATTTATTGCGTAGTATGACATGCCAATTAAGTCATGACCTAAACCTATTGAAAGGGACAGGAAGGGTTTCACAAGATTTCCGTTTTGGAAAGAAACAGGGTAAAGGGGAGTGAAAGAGATATATGGTAGAAAGATTTGCACGTTGAAGCACAAGATTGTAGTGTCTTATCAGTCTCATTAAAAAATGGAAAAAAACAATTGTGTCTTAACATAGTAAGTGGAATTTTCAAAAGATAAGTGACTTTTAAGTCAGAAGAATCTACAAATGCCAGGCTATAGCATTCCAAAATTCAATGTTAGCAGACTCCAGAGTTTTCTTTCATGTTCACTGTTCTGTCATATGTTGTCAACTGCCCAACTCTGCTTGCCTTCGCCTTTAACTTTCCAAAGTTTAAGTGTATATATTATTGTTTTTGTTATGTATGATCAGATTAGAATCCGTTCCAGTTTTAGATTTTTTTTTCAGCTTATTTTTGTATCAAATCATCTACTATGTATTGTAGGATTCAAGATAGGTAATCTTGTGTTGAGAGAATTGATATAATTCAATTCTGAATTTGATCTCAATCTGTTACAATTGAATAGATTCAATGCAAGTAAGAGAGAGAGAGAGAGAGAGAAGAGAGAATAAACAGTTGGCCTGGCAAAAACCTCACTTAGCAAAAGCAATTTTCGGTATTATAGTGAAATTAATATCCAAATACGCAAATTGTGACTTAATATAGTAAATTTAGGATTTATCATAAAAGAACTGAAAATCGACGATCCCAACATTTTAAAATCAATCACAAGTTTTTTAATAACTACCCCAAATTTTTTGGTGCTTAGTAGCTTTAAACTCAATAGGGAAAAAAAACCTTACACCTATTAAATCGTACTTAGATCTTATCAAATCGTAACTCTTTTCTTATTACTTTTCAATACTGTAAATTTTTCTAGTCTTCATCTGACTATTGAATGAATAGCCCAAACATCTCTTTGAGCAATCAAACCACACAGCCCATCTAATATAAAACCAGGTACATATACATTAATCAACTGCCAGAGTCTGAAATCATTTCCTCCAATACACATCAAAGACAAATCCATTCTCTATTTACCCATTGACTTTCATATTTAGTCTTTTATGCAGAACAAGATCAGCATACTGCTTCTCTTGCAGTAATTGTTGTGACTTTTCCTTTGTGCAGCTGCCAATATTTCTGCTTGGTTAATGTTGTCTTCAGTTTTGTACTTGGGATTGAGCTGCTTCAACCTTGCTGCAATTATGATCAAAAACTATAGACATGTATTGTTACCTCGTGGTCATCATTGTCTTCATGTTGTGCAGTATCTTATAGAAAGCAATGCAACTTTTCAAGATTCGGGCTCGCTAAGACTTTAAACAAGCAACTCCAAACATGATTCAATCGAAGCACATACCATAATGAGTATCGACAAGGGTATTTTTGTAGTTATACAGCATATTGCCTCAGAGCTTTACACGAGGAATGCCAATGAATAGCATATTTTGTGTGACTCACCAGCTACAAAAAGCATGTCATTGCAAATGGAATTACTTCAATGCCGCAGAAGGAAGGAAAGAAACTTCAAAAATCCACATCCCAAAGACCTCACACCCTGTAACTGCTAAAGATCCTATTATCCAAATACTCACACAAGATAGAAGAAATCCATCACATAACTGCCGGATATATTCCAATTGCCACAATCATTAGCTACTCCAGAACTCCTGTGAGTTAAGAATGGGCAGAGGAAGATACAAAAATATTACATTCCTTCAGACGCCTCTGAAAGTCAGCCAAGCGTGTTTGCAGTTGCACAATGCCTGCAGCTTTCTGTGATAGAATGGCATTTAATCTAGAAACGTAATCATCCAGCTGGTTGCCTGGTTGATCAACTTCAACCAACAGCGTCATCTCCTGCAAATACGAATAAGTTGAGATGAAAAAACATAATCTGATAAGAAAAATTGGATGATCCAAATGCGACTACTAACCTCCCTAACAATATCCATCGTCTCCTCCACATGGCTTCGATGAGCATTTACAAGATCTTCCTCTTCCTATTATGAAACAAAGTGGGTTTGTAATTGGTGATTGACCAGTTTATGAATGAGAAGTCAGACAAGAAATTTGAATGTTTTTACCTTCCACAGGGCATTCAGATCATCATCAGAATCTGGGTTGTCGGCCTCAAAGTCTGGCATATTCCTAAGTTTTGTTTGAATCCCAGTTTTCCTCAACCTATTTTCTGAGGCAGTTGCTTGGTAGTTCTCTACCTTCTTATTCATCTTCCAAGATGATTTGTCTAGTTCAAGGATCTCCTTAGAGCCTTCAAAATCATCAACAGTGATGCCAACTTGACCATTTATCTGACCCTTGTTATCTGTATAGGCAGTTGAGGCCAAATTGCTTTGTGCTCTTCCACTAGGAACACACTCAATGTTAGAAGATGGAGAGGACTCCCGTTCGATTTGTTTAGACCATCCAAATCTGTTAATTTCATGGGGAGCATCCACCATTTTATCCTCAAAACCCAGTAGAGTTGGTAAAGCTGAAGATAATGCCACTGCACTTGAGCTTCTAAGGTTTAATGATGAAGTAAATGGATCTTTCTTAGAGCTGTTCCCCTTAGATAGACTCTTCACTCTGAAATGTTAAAAAATCCAATCAGAACTATTCAAGCACAAAAAAAAAAAAAAGGGGAAAAAATATCCTCTCGCTAAAACAAAGCTTATTTATGACCACATTACCTATCAGCATATCTTAGTGTGTTGAGAGTATGTTCACACGATCCTGAGTTCGGTGAAATGCATGATATCATAACTGTGCGTGAGTCACCAACAAATGAATCTCTAAGAACTTCAGTTAGCTTACTCCCTCTGAATGGAATATGACCCTGGTCATTGTCCAGAGCTCTAATGCATTCCTTCAAAGCAAGTAAGCTTTTATTAATTTCAGCACCTTCCATTCTGCAACAAAAATAAAATGCAAACAAACTTACTCCTTCAAACGTCATAGTTACAGACACCAAAAACAGATACAGAACACAATTAAATGTCCAGAGAGATCTCCTGGGAGTAACCCATGGCTCCTAAAACCTCAGTTTTTTTTTTTCAGCTCCTAAAACCGTCTTACACAGTGTTTAGCGCACATAAGAAAGGATAAAATTTTGAAATATGTTAAAATAAAACCAGATGAGATCCTTAATAGCCCTACCTTGTCTGTTTATCATTATCAGTTGTATCAGCACCACGTTCACTTCCAGCGAGATCTATAAAAGAAAGCTTGCCAATGATTCGAGCAGGCTTTGAGTCATTGCCATCAACCAATCTCTTGATGGCAAGCTGAAGTATAGCATGTGATCTGGAGGATTCCTCATTTGCCCCAGTTGTGCCAGTACTCCTTGTGGCATTTCCTCTCTCAATCAACTCCTTGACTGTCTCCACAGTGGAGACCCTATATTCTTGCAAGCCTACGATGCAGACCTGCTGTTTCCCATCCTCCCTCATAAAAAGCTTTCTACAAAAGTAGCAGTCTTATTTTTTAGAGTTTGAACTTTTTTAAATGCTTGGCTATTCAAAGGGAAGTTAAAAGTTGAGAAACTCACTTCCGATCATTAAGGAGATCAAAAACTTTCCCTCCATATATCTCAAAGAAACTGACAAACAATTGAAAACCTTGGTTGCAATAGCTGTGGTGCATTAATCTAAAAATATCCCGGGATGCTTTTAGGGGCAGTGGTTGCATGGTATAAGTCTTTCCACTCCCTAAAGAAACACCCATGATCAATCTAAGTTAATTAACAAAACAGTTTGGAATGTAATAAGGCATGGAAAACATATTCCAAGGAAAAATTCAAAAAGAAAATTAAACCAGAGAGATCTGCACAAAATAAAGATAGAGAAATGCTTATCACTTAAAATATATCCAAATACAGACTATGTTTTTTGCTCAAATGGCTGGCACAAAACATTCCAAAAATAATGAAAAAAAAAAAAAGAAACAAAAAGACAAACTTATGTGGAAATCTCACTGACTGTTTGGATGGGCATGCATGCCCATTTGGCCAAGTACTAACAGGTCATGTTTTACACTTGTGGTCATATTCATATATATGAGAGCACAAGGCTGCAGGTAAATAGTTGAACTGTGAGGGATCTACCTCCCCATTACCGGGGATATACCTCCCTCCAAGAGCATTCCTCCCATTACTGGGATATCCCGCTCTCCATCAAAGGATTTCGGCTGACCTGCGGGGCAAACCCCCACAGTAGCCTTTACCTCTGTCCCACATCGGGAAAGAGTCGTCTCCCCACCCCCATATAAGCCGAAGCACCATATGAGAGCAGTACCCAAGTACCACAGTGTGCTACTTGGGTACTGCTCTCATATGGTGTTTCGGCTTATATGGGGGTGGGGAGACGACTCTTTCCCCGATGTGGGACAGAGGTAAAGGCTACTGTGGGGGTTTGCCCCGCAGGTCAGCCGAAATCCTTTGATGGAGAGCGGGATATCCCAGTAATGGGAGGAATGCTCTTGGAGGGAGGTATATCCCCGGTAATGGGGAGGTAGATCCCTCACATAATATATATATAAGTGGAAGACAAAGTCTTCCACTTTTGTGTTTTCTACCGCCGGCGACACAGATAGAGTGAAAGAAAAAAAAAGAATGAGTTTTTATTTTTTTTCTCTTTTCTTCTTTCTCAGATCTAGGAAAATTTAACCGTTTAATCGCTTCGGGCCAAGAACTAAAGTTGCTCTACTCAGCGAGAGCTACGCAACCACACAAAATATCATATTTTTCTTCGAAGGTATATCAAAGCCGATAATCTAGACCTAACACTTAGGAAGATAAATTTGGACTTCCTTGGCGTTCTAGTAAGTGGTCTCACGCTACGAGAGGTAGGGTTTCCCCTATTTAGATTTAATTTCAACTTAAAATATAGCATATGGAATGAGTAGATTATGAGTGTATATTACATGTTAGGTCTTGACTAGTGGTCAAATATAGAATTTATAATTAATCTTGTGATTAATAAAAATTCTATTGTGATTAACTTGGTGTAAGCTAATGTTAGTAGTTTAAAGCATGTTAATTGTATGTTAGCATTACTTTATATTTTAATGACAGATCAAGTTTAATAAAATTATTAACTTGTTATATGATTGTGAAATAATATATATATGTTAAATGATTATTTAACATATGATTATTTTGGTGGACTTGTGCTTATGTTAAACATGTTATCATGTTGCAAGTCATAGCATGCTAGTTGTGTAAATTGATGTACTCTTTAGGTGTTTGATTAAATGCCTAGGTGAATACAAGTATGTTAGTTGAGTTGATTATCTTACATAACATGCTTGAGATCGTGTTAAAATGTCATTACATTGTATTTCATTATGCATGGGTTGCACTACATTCATGGGCATTGACATGGGTGAGAGTGTATGCATGGTATGAAATCAATCACCACGTAGGTGGTTGAACGTGGACTCGAAAAAGTCGCACCAAGGTTCGATTAAGTCGCACGAGAAATTAAATGAATAAATGTGTTGGGGACAGCACGAAAGGCTAGATTCTCCCTCGGGTGCAAGACCCGCTTACTTGGTTTATACACTTTCCGGCGGTGAAATTCCAAAAAAGTGTAACGGCGGAAACGGAGCCGCAGGTGGGATGTCCTGAAGATCCGTTGATGGTTGGTGTCCCATTGGTGTAATACCATAAATCACCTCCCCACAAAGACACAAGAAAATGAATTAATTAGTCATTGAGTGTACATAACACCAATGATGGGGGCTTGGAATACTCGGATACATACGTATGGCATTGCATGTGTTATGGGAGCTCAGGATGGGGCTCGGGGTTAGTATTGCTTGCATGAGTCTCATCTCATGGCATGACATGATCTATAACATTCAAACATAATAGACATATTTAAATGAATGTATCAAATGATTGTTGCATGTGACATTCCATATGCATTTAGGTTGAGAGATATTCTCTATAGGAGTTACCCTATTGAGCGTTGGCTCACCCTTTATGGGAACATTTTTCAGGTATTGCACAAGCTTCCACCGAAGGCGAGGCCATGGGCCCGCTTTGACGATAGAGCAGGTCTGTGGCTTTTATTTTGACATTGCAGTCCCTTGTTTATACTTACTTTTGGCCTTGTATAATTTTTGTAACAAACATTGTTTATATTTACAAAGGCATGTATATGGGACTCTTTTGGGACATTTATTCTTTTACGAATAAATGTATGTACTGATAATGATTATGGTAGTATTCGAGACTATACAATTGTGAATGGATAGATAGACCCGGTGTGGTCAATGTTGTACAGGTTGCGTTTTGAGTAGAGCTCCTTGTACAAAGGAGACTCTGTCCAAATTTTGTTAAGTTATGGATCCCAAGAAATGGGGCATAACGGTGTGGTATCAAATTACACGATATCCACCAGTATTACACAGGTCCATGTATAACCAATCGGATAATTACAGACACCCGGACTTTGGGGTGTCACATGAACTGTTGAAAAGATATAGGGTTTGGATTTAGTGCAAGGTGCATAATGTTATACTCTTTCATGGTAGACTATATTAAGCTTTGGTCATAGTTGACAAAAACTAATGGTTAGAATGGCAAATAATCCATGAATCGTTAGGAATCAAACAGTCAACATGGGAGGGCATCAGTAACTCTATAAATGGGAAACGGGACAAAACCAATTAGACCTGACAAATGTGCAAAAGTCATCCATCTAATGGTTCAGAAAATATGTCACCAATAATTAGGTTCAGTATATTCTAATTTCTTATTGAGTAGTTTTTGGGCTCATATAACTCCACTGAAAAGGAAAAGCCACCACTATCCTTGACACAAATCAAAAGCTTGTTTGATACATGTAGAACATATGAAGATTTTGACAGAGTAACCCCAAGGGGTAGCTCAAGTGGTAATAAGCAGGAGCTGTAAACTCAGATGTCTTGACTTCGAATCTTGAAAACCCATTAAAGCCGGGCCATGAGGGATTTAACCTCATGCATACTCTAATCCCAACATAGATGATCTAAAACATTGAGGTGCGTGTAAGTTAGTCCAGACACCCGTAACCATTGAACCAAAAAAAGAACATTTTGACAGTAAAACCCTTATAAATCAGAGCCTAGTGTCCAGTCAAGCATAAAGCATAACAACTCTGAATCAACTTTTTAGTGTTTAGGATAGAGAAACCCACATATTACACCTTGAGCCTAGTGCCACCTAGAATTCTAGATTATTGAAAATGCACGCATGTACACCCAGACAGACAGGGGGAGGGAGGGAAAAATAACCACTTGCCTGTTTGCCCATATGCAAAACAGGTTGCTCTTGTTCTTTGAAAAATTATCGGAACTATGGGCTCCACAGTTTCTGAGTACACCTACAGCAACAAAATAAAAAGTACAATATTGTAATCGACGGAAAGATCTCTTAAAATAGTACCAAGTCCTGTTGCATACTCACTTCATCATTTGAGACATCCTCATTCATTACAGCATCAAAACAAAATTCATGTTTCTCAACATATTCAGTTAGGTCAACCTGCAAAAGATGGAAAATTAGGCTGAGTAAAAAGAAATTGCATGCCACCTTGCTCATATACATTTATACCAAATAAGAAGTAAAGATTTAAGCAATGAACAAAAGTAGGAAATAACCATCTGGAAAGGTTGAGTGGGGGCAAGTTGAGATGGTCACCAAGTCATCACCATGAATTGTAAAAACATGCCCATATACAAGAATAACATAGTAATCTATCACTCCTACGGTATGTAAGACTTCTCCCTCATTAATATCAGCTTCAAGACGAGTCGAGCTCTTTCAATCCTTCTTATATATTCCTTCAAACAAAATTCATCAATGCAAAATCCTTCTTAGTTCAACCTCATTGCTTTGTCATTTAACATCTAATTCCATCAAATGCAGACATCAATGTCAAAACATTTCATTCGTCTAGCTAGATGAAAAAATTTCCAATAAAAATAAGCTTGCTCAGCTATGCCAGTAGAATTTGAAACAAATTCAAAGGACTTAAAGAGCCTACAGAAAAAAATGAAATTATTATCTAAGATGACGGAACAGAAACACCAATAAATTTCAAAGGCAACTGCAAGGTTTTGAACTCCAACACAGTGCTGTTGTCGTAGTTGATTACGATGATGATAGTGAAGGTGATGACTATATAAAGGAAATTAAAACCAATTAAATAACAACGGCAACGTTTTCATTTGCTCCCTGCCCTTCATATAAGGCCAGACAAGCAAAACACAAGAAAAATATTCCAACAAAGTATTGACATTTTTAACATAACTTTCACAATTACAAACCCACCAGGAGCTCACCTTGAGTTTTGTTTCATGAACAGTGAGCGAATTAGTATCAGGAGCAATGGAAACGATGTCGTCTTCTTTTTTAGCTATTTCCTTTCTATTAAGTGGCCTCTTGCGCACCTTCATTCAAAAATGTTACACCATCATTACAATCACAAGTTGAGAGAACAAAGAAAGCTATCGCAATAGTGAAGCAGCAGAATATTATTTAGCCTACAAGATCGCCATTTTTGTTGTGTGTGTGGGTGTTGGGGGGATAGTGAAGATTGGAATACACTGGTAACTTTTTGGCACTACAATTCATTTTGGAAATCCAAAGGGCCACTGCTTAAGCGAGGCAGTAAATAATAAGAGAAGTACATCAGCAAAAGGGCATACCACAACTTTGATCTTAGCAGCAGTATTGTTCTTCTCTTTATCAGCAGGAAAGCTTTTCAGAAGATTATTATCAAGCAAACCACCGGCACCACTTATGACTTTGTTGCTTGAGACATATGGCTCAGAATCATCGAAACTCTTACCACGAACACGGCCAAGTGAAAATCCATTGTATTGGGTAGGAATCTAGACACTCCAAATAATACATTCAATTTCATTAATACAACAATATAGGATAAGAAGACCACCAGGATCGAACTTAATACGGCCCTCGCGCTAAATGATGTCAAATCTATGGATATAAATGAGAGTTGCAAGTTTCCGAGAATGGAATTGAAGGCTGATTTGCTGCCGAATAAGTTATTCACTCACCTATATTTGTAGTTAAAGGGTTCTATTCACATTCATATGATAGGGACAGAAAAGCAAAAGGCAAAATAAGAAGTATCATATTAAGTACAATAACTTGCTGATTGTTTTCCAATTTCTAAGTATCTTTGACTAATAAGCTATTTGTTATCCCATATTTGTGGATAAGGAGTTCTATTCACATTTTATGTGATACACAAAGGTAAGTGATTAATCAAAACAAGGACTAATGTATTAAGTACAATAACTTGCAGAGTATTTGCTATTTTCGAAGTATCTCTCTTGCTTTTTGGAGCAAAAGTTCCAAACAACAAAGTTGCACTCAACAAAATAAGCACTTACAGAGATCCATCTCGAATGACACCCAATTTTAGCAACATTTGGTCCAAATACACGAATGAAACAAGTCCTTTGGTCCACTAACTCGGCTTGTTTTGCTTAAAATGTCAAATAGTGAACATTATGTATGTGAATAATCATTCATGTAACTAATATGGACAGTAGCATTGTTCAGATTCAGTGGAAGCCCTAAGACATTACACAACATAGATTAAAGTTCATTAGAAAGAAATAATGCAATACGAAAAAGGATGAATTGGACATATCAGTTAGAGTTTCGAATGTACAATGGAGACAAACCTCTGGGAAAAGCTCTGTATCAAAGGAATGCAGATCAAGTAACCCGGGACTGAGCTCACCCGGGGACACTTGCTCCCCACTCCCATTCTTCCTCATGCTAGAAGACCGCGAACATGCGGATGGAGTTGGAGGATCCTCATTTCCTCCTCCATTGTCACTCCTCTGCGCATTCCTTCTGAATCTTGAACCCTGTCCTCCTCCATTATTTGCATAAAACCCAAAGTCCTGTAATCAATCCGATCTAAACGCAATTACAACATCCACAAACACAAACACATAAAAGAATATATATTTCTGTGGTAAATTACTCGAAACCCATATCGAGCTAGGGGTTCGAATGCGAATAACACCCTTGTAATAACCTCGATCGGTGAGAACCAATACTGCGTATTGGCGTCCTACACATACTTGCATATAATCAGTGGATACATATAAATTTTATACACGCGCACACACATATATATTATAAAATGTGAACAGGACAAGTTGATTGATGATGGTTTGATTATAATGAACCTGAAGAGGAGGGACTGTAGGGTTAGAGGATTGGAGGCGATGGAGGCCAGCTGATTGAAGCCATTTGTTGTTGAAGTTTGTGTCAATAAAGTTATCAGAGTACTGACGCTGGTGGTGGCTGGTGGAGCTAGATCTCTGCATTTGTCTTCCCACTGCATTCATCTCTGTTTAATCCCTCTCTCCACTACACCTTCCAATTAGGGTTTTGATCTGATTCTCTTTCTCTACAGAAGAAGTCAATTCAAAAGCTGGGAAATCTTTTTAAACCACAAGCATCTCTGCCGGCCGTACAGCATTGAAGTGAACTTGGCCAAAAGACAAATACAGAGAGCGTGTGTGTGTGTGTGTGTGTGAGAGAGAGAGAGAGAGAGCTTTTTGTAGGGCTTGAGAAGAAGACTGTAATGGAGGTGGTTGAGATGATTGTTTGCGTTGGAGGACTTTTGAAAAAGAAATGATTTTGAAACTTTTGAAAAGAAAGACCGGGATGTATATATACGTACGAGTATGTGTAAGGGTAGTAGGATTCAATTACAATACTACCAATAAGAAAAAAACTTTTTGTATAACAAAAATTATTTTTAAAAAAAAAGTAATTATTTGTATTACATTTAGTATATTTTATTTAATAATTATAAACTTATAAATCAGAATTAATAATTGAAGTTTAATAATTTCCACACAACACTAATTATGCAATTGTTGGAAAATGTTAACTTATTAGAGGTGATAACATTTGAGGTGAGACCTTAATTTGATATTAAATTCTATCCGGACATAAATTGTTAATATCTTAATAAAATAATAAATTTTTCAGATTAATATCAAAACCAAAATAATTTGAATTTTAATATTGTATAAATTTGTCTACTTATATTAGCGTAATGGGAAAAAGTTTTTAAAAGTTTTTTCTTCTTTTTTATTTCACTCTCGGCTTGGAAACTCTTAAGTTTCGTGATACGTTTAGTATGATGAAAAAGTGGAAATGCAATAAGTAAAATAAATAAATAAAATATTATGTTTGATTTAGAAAAAAAAATAAAATGAAAAAAAAATAGAAAAAATATTAATTATATTTAGTATGTAATTTTTTTTGTAACACGCATATATTTAGTGTGTACATGTATATCCTTTAGTATGTACATGTATCCAACTAATTTATTTTATATAATAAATATGAAAATATTAATTTCATATGTAATTAAAACAGTAAAATAAGAACGGTCAGTCTTCTTCCTTTTTTTTTCTTCCACATTTCTATGTATACCAATCATGAAAAAATAATTTCCTTCTACTTTCATCTATGGTACCAAACAAAAATAGAGATTAGAGATTTCTTTTATTAAAAGATAAAAAGTATATCACGTTTATTTTTTTTCTTATTTCTTGTTTTATCTATCCTATCAAACGGATAATTAGAGTTAATTTTAGAAATTTTTGCATTAAATCAGATTTTAATTTATAAGGGGTTTTAAATATTCAATTTATTTTGAACCTATAAGAAAAGAGATTTTTTTTGCTGGGGGGTACACAGCCAATCTCCCTATTCTGCGTATGGGTGTGAAACAGTCAAGTTTTGCCCCTTTTTTTGTTTTTTTTTTTTGAAAAAAAAATTGTGTAGTAGATTGTCACGCCACGCCTCCTAGGACAGAGTAATTGCTCCTTACGTTGGGACCTCCATTTTGGTGGGCCCACCTAGATGTGAGAGACCCACTTAGAGTTCTTGGGTTTGGACCCTATCGTCCAAATATTTCAAATAAATTAACTACTTTAATTTGAAATTTTTGAGAATTTAAGTACCTTTTCTTTTCCAAAAACGAAAAAAAAAAAATTTATTTTTTAAATATTCTCATAGGGCCCACTCCAATCCCATCCATTTCTTCACCTAAAAAAAGTTTCAGGTATGATTAAATTTAAACCTTGACAAATAAGTTGTAATTTAATTTTAAAAACGAGAAGATTAATGTATTACTCTTCACGAAGTTAGAAAAAATAAATATCTTGATTACAAAATAAGTAGAGCTTAAGTATCAAACTTTTCTAAGGCACTCTTTAGTTCACATCACAAAAGCGAAAGGAAAAGGGAAAGGGACGTAAACCCTTTCAAATGTCAAATATTTACATATTTGAAAAGAAAATAAATTATCAATGAAAAATAAATTAATAGAGATAAAATAGGGGAGAAAGTAATGTAGAGGGAGAAAAAGAATAACCGCGTGAGAAATAGGATGAGAGAGAGTGAAAAAATAAGAATTATGCATAATTTAAGAAAGGGTAAATAAGTAAAAAAATTCAAATGTCATTTGAATTTTATACTTAATCGCAAGATATTTTATTAAAATTAAACTTAATAGAGTAAAATATTTATTCATACACTTCCTGTTAAATAAGTCTAAAATAATATATCTACAAAAAAAAAAACCCATTTTTATTTGTCTTTCTAATTTTTTGGGGCTATGTGCGACTTTCAATCGGGCCAGCCCATCTGGCTGTTAAATGCTCATTCGGTTGTGAAGCTACTCAAGGAGTCTCAGGTGCATGGGCCGTAATTGGCCCATAACATAGTGGGCTTGAAAGTTTACTAGCAAGCCAGTGGATCACATTATGGAGGCTTTCCAAACTGACATTCCATTTTTGTTCTTAGGCTCATGTCTTAGTAAAGGACCCAGATTTGTGTGTCTTCTTTATGGCCGAGGGGCGGGTTCTTTTCTATAAAGAGTGTGTTGGAGGAGGCGTATTGGATCGACAGGCGAGGCAAGGCGAGGCGAGGCGTATGCGTTTTGGGTAATATATAAGAAACTTGCTTGAAAGTTTACTTGGCTTTCACTTGACACAAAATTGACAGCCAATTTGCCATATGACATTTTAACTAATGAATTTTGATACTTTTAACAATTTTTTCTTATGACATTTCAATTGGGTTCAAACCAAAATCGGTAAAAATTGAATTCATCCTCGATTTGTTGGGAAGTATAATCTTAATAAATAATTAAGGAACATAGTATTAAGATAGCTCAAAAAAATAGAAAATGTTATTTTAATATATTTTTCCCACAAACATATTTACCCTTCCCTTTTCAAAAGCATGGAACAAAACTTGTTGATAATATGAAAATCTATGATCAAATTACAATAAGCAATAAGTTGAGATGGCCGAGTTGGTCTAAGGCGCCAGATTAAGGTTCTGGTCCGAAAGGGCGTGGGTTCAAATCCCACTCTCAACAAACTGTTTTCCTTTTTCCTCTTCAATTTATCCTCTCTCCCTCTTTCTTAATTGGCCGCGCGAAAATGGCACATGCAGAGACTAAATCTCAGCTCCTCCTCACCAACCCACGTCCCGGCGACTCTTTTCGCTCTTCTTTCTCCGACCTCCGATCTCTCCTCCTCTTCTATGACCTCCATCGACGCCCGTAAGGCCCCATCTACAAAAACTCACATTCATTCATAGATATATATATGCATATGTAGGTATGATTTTTTCTTTTGATTTATGTGTGTGTTTGGTGAAATTCAAAGAGACTGAAGGATTCAGGAACTGTTTAGGCTAAGGAGGTCTTCGAGATAAAGATTCATATTCCTGAAAGGTGCAAAACTTAACATTCCATTTTCATGCTTATGACCATTTTCGGTAAACAACCATTTTTGTGTTCAAATATATATATATATATATACATTTGTCTGTTTTGTTAGTTGGTTTTTAATATTTTGGGTGATTTTGGTGAGTATAAGTTGTGTTGGTGAACTGAGGGTTTTTTTTTTGTGGGCTTATATGTATCCATTCCAGCCATCCAATTGCTGCCTTTGTTATGTCTATCTATCACCCAAATGCTTGTAATGGAAAAGCGGACCTTCGAGGATATTCTCAATCTTCCTTCCAAGGTGCGTTCTTGAACTTCTGGGAATGTTAGGCCTATTCATTTGATATTCCTTTTTGGAATTTTTATTGATCTATATTTTGAATAGATTTCACATTACCATTTTCTCGACGAAATCAGCATTTAGTTCATAGAGGAATAATAGAAATGGTCAATTGAGATTTACAGAACTTACAGGAATTTGTATTCATTGAAAGTAGTAGAAGCACACGCCATTGCACGCGGAGCATTGTGAGTTATAATTTTTTGGAAAGAAACCAAATTTATGAAGTGGTAACAGTTCCAGAGTTGATTTATATACTTTTTGTTTTAGCATTTCAGGTATAATTTTGATTTTTGATTTTATTTTTGTTCATAGTGGGATTTAGGTTTTGGAATTTACAATGTACACATATCAAAATGAGAGGTAACCGGTTGCTTGCTTTAGTTATTCACCACAAGTCCACAACAATCACGTGGTGACTTATGAATCAGAAACGTGAATATAAAAGTTCAGTTCTATCATAATAAACATGTCTTAAATTAAATAGGGTGTAATTATATGATATTTGGTCTGCCAAAAAGATTCCAAAGTATTTTAACTCCCTCTGTTTCTGCAGTTGCACCAATTTTACAATTACATCCTCAAAAAACTTTAGCTTATTGTGTTTATACAACAAAGAGATTAAAAAAAAACCTCAAAAACAAATTTGTTGTAGTATCAATCACTTGGCAAGTTCCATCTGCAAAATGCAAACCATTTGGACACTTTGGAACATTCAGATTTATTCAACTCAAGCAAAACACTTTTAACTTAAGATCAAAACTTACAAATGTAATAGGAGCAATAATGTTGATCCCATGGAACTACAATCCAAACATAAGAAGAAAGAAAATGGCAGACGACAATATCCCCACTCAATTTTTTGAATTGTATTTTCCGTGTTAGTGGTATCAACACTCTCAAAAGCCTCGCTATTAGTAACCCTTGCTAAAAATCAGAACTCAAAGCAAATACAGTAGTTGGGAAGGATATTGGATTGTTACCAGTTCAAGTATCAAGAAGTCCCAAAAGCAAGATCATGGTGCCATTACATCTGATGATACTCAGAACAATTCCAAGTATGAGACCAGACGCGAAGGTCAGACAAGCAGGTCAGACCAAGAGGTCAAGAAAGATGCGCAGAGCTCAAAGGATCAGAACTAGAGCTCCTCCCTAGGCATGCCAGCAATGGAAAGGATAAAGGAGCTGCTGGATAACAATGGGAATCTTATAGGTGCCAAAGAGCCATGTTTAAGGCATAAAATCCTTAAATAGCCGAGATCCTCTCCTAAGATCAAGGAGAGTTCATCGGGGGAATAGCAAGGATCTCGGCACAGATCCCATAGAATTAGGAACAGCCCTATAAATATTATGTAACTCCTCCAAGGCAAGAGGACACTTTAGTAACATTTACTCCATCCTGTAAACTTTCTGAATAAGAAGAAAAGGAAAAAGGAGCAAGAGCCTCCATTGAAGAGTGGACTAGTCGAGCTTCCGAGCTGGTGAACCACTATATTTTTATTGTGCAAATCACCCCATCCTAAACACGAACCTCATGAGCCTTGTAGTTCAGATCCCAGTTGCCAAGTGTAATCCATTCCCTCTGCTCATCCACTCCAATTTACACCATCAACATCGTAGATACGTGACAAGTTACTTTTCTTTTCCATGTTCAATTGTCAAAGCGTGGCATTGCAAACTGGGAAGCAAATTCTGCAACCCTTTTTAGTAGCTCAACAACAACCTTATTGTTCTAAAGGCAGACGGCCTGTGAATATCCTGGCAGGGGTATCTGGAGACAATTAAAAACTTAAAGATTGCTTATATATTATTCTCCCAAGAACTCTATAAGGACCTGGCTATAAAGTACTCATTGTCACCAAAAATGATTTAAATTTTGGGAATAGTGAGGAATTTACCATAAATAAAAAGGAAAGTGTTCATCAAACTTTTATGCACGTACCAAAATGTAGAGAGGAAAGCAATATTTAAACAGGACCAAATTTATTAATATATTACCTTCTTGAATCAGATTATATTGGGGTGCTTCAAGGACATGTAGTTCTTGATTTCCGTCTGTACATGCTTATAAACCTGTAGAAACAGAGAGAAATCCCAATCAATCCATTTAAAGGAAAAATAGGACAATCTTATTAGTCACTACTATAAGATCACACACGTGCATGCAGTATTTATTAACAGAGAAGATCGATGGCAGATTGGAGGACAAACAAAATGATGAGCTTAGGATGGAAGAGAGAAGTGCTTTTGTGGGAGACAATGAGTTGTAGTCTTGTAAATGGACTTCTCAAAAGTAAAACAGTTTTGAGATAGTGACAGACATAACTTCACGATGGGAAGATGAAAAAATAAAATTAATTAGAGAAGTAAACAAAGAAGCAAAACCAAACAGATCAGATCTTGACAATATTGTCTATACGATTTTATAAAGGTTAAATTAGGTTCAAAAGTTTTTCTTCCCTACTGACGTTTAGTAGTAATATAGAGTTGTCGTATACCTATATATATGGGTAGATATAAGTATAAGGAAGCCCCCAAAATATCTTATTCTTAAAAAGAGAGAATTAAACTTCCAAAATCTGTGCAAAGAGAGACTACATGGGTGTATCTTGAGGATGTTTTTGCTGAATCCTAAATTAATGCTTGAGGCATTTTTATGATGATTTGATACACAGGTTGTAGGAGGACCCAGAGGCCTAGATATCGAGACTAACACTCCAAAAGTCCTCCTGTAACAAAACGAACATCCCCAATGGGGGTTCTTCAAGCAGCAGTGTTCTCTCAGTTTGGTGGTGGCCTTCGTTTGCCAAAAAAATCTGCACATCTATTTCTTTCTCTGGAAATGTGCTGCAGTTCACATCCCCATGGATTTGCAAGCAGCTTTCAGCAGTCATTGATGATTGATTCAGCAGGATGAGGGTCTGAATTGGTTGACCTGATACACTGAATTGCAGCTTCTGAATCTGCTTCCATAATGATATTGTGTGGCCTCATTTCCCAAGCCATGGTTAAACCTGTCCTGATAGCCCATAGCTCTGTTGTCAGTATTGGGCATGTTCCCAAATTTCCAATAAATCCTGTGATCCACATTCCATCTTCATTTCTGAGCAGTCCTATTGCTGCAGTATTTGGTATCTTTCCAGACTTAACAGTAGAACCTATGTTGAGTTTAAGCCCGCCAGAATGTGAGTTTTCCAGGAGATGAAGTGAGGGTATATGCCCGGGGTTTTTTGGGGGAAGGTTGGGTTGGCTGCGAAATGGTCATCCTCTGACTCACTCATGAGGTAATTGTTGAACTCACGAAATATATTTCTCAAGCTGTTAGAATGTATCTATAACTTAATGATACTTTTTATTCTTACACATCTAAGTTTCGGCATTACTCCTCCTTCCACTTTCAATGCTTCAAACCAAGGAAATGGCCCAATTAGGAAGGTTTCTAGTCTGGGAAAGCTACCATCACCTGTGACAACCATAATTTTTCCCTTGTAAGAACTCCAGAGAAGTTGAAGCTTCCGTAGGTTTGGCAGCTTTCCTAGCTTCTCCATCGGGACTTGCTGTAATTGGCTTCTTACCAAAGTAAGCTTGGTAAAGCTGGTAGTATTCTGGAAGATCCACAAGTGGACCTTCTAGATAAATGTTAAGAAGATTTTGATAGCCAGAAAAATTTAGAGGTGAACTTGCTGGTGTTGGAAAATTCGAATTGGCAGATATACTGGATTTTGGGATTCTGGGGGAATCCACGAATCTATGGTTTGCATCATAGGGACCATCGTCCCACACTTCCGATTGAAATTTCTTCATCTTCATTGATATGGGCATCGCAACTGTTAGCACCTTGTCGAATTGCTTCATACAACAACATATAGCCAATTTTCTTAGATTGGTAAACATGAGTAAACATTCAAGCTTTGGAGATTTGGTAGAGATACTTCGTCAACATGTTGTGACCTATCCATGATGTGCCTAGATATTAGTGGATGTTGAAAAATGGCTGTGCGAGATTAGAGAATGTGTCTTAGTTGTTGCATATTCCAAATAGCTGTAGGTACATTGAGATTCTCACATTCCTTGACATCCAAGGCCTGTAGGATTCTCAGATACCTGATGGTGGACAAAAGGCTTCTTAGGCTTGATCCCTTCAACTGCAGGTACCTCAAATGGATGAGATTGCCTATTGCATCTGGAAAACTGTGGAAACATCAATCTCTCAAGCGGAGCACCCGAAGAAATTCAAACCCCTTATCAATATGTTCCAAGTGCGGCCTTTCCAAGTTCTCTTTTTCTCTGTTGAAGCATAGCAGAGCACAGAGCTTGAGTTGCTGGTTTTGAGAAATGTACTCACAGATACTACCACGCTGAATGGCAACTCCACAAACTCTGGTGTCTAAAACAGAATCATCACCTTGACTAGTACTGAAAAAGTTGTTTTTCTTGGCAGTTGAAACACAAAGGCTGAGAAGAACATTGTGGATGCGGCAGCTTCTAATTCTTCCATCAAATCTTCTTTTATCAATTTGAACCAAGTACCTACCAATTAGCTCAGTTAGGTAATCCTCTGCTACATCTTTAAGGGTATCGTTTTCTTGGGCTTGTATGAAGCCCTTGGCTACCCATATGTTTATCAGTTCACTTGCTGGGACTTCATAGGCCAAAGTAGAGAAAGCAAGGTTTTAGTTTAGATGGTAGATCACTATAACTCAAAGTCAAGGTATCTAAATTTCGGCATTCTAGTTGATCCACCCCCCTCAGTACACATTTCCATGCATGTTCTATCCTCTCTTTTGTTGATAGGAGACCAGCCATTGTGATGATTTTGAGTGGCAGGCCATCAACTCCACCTGCATAGATGTCAACTTCTTTATGGCGAGAAGTAATGATTAATGCACTACCATTTGTACAATTACCCGGTATGCTATTCTTCAATTCATTCCAAGTTTTATTATCCCATATGTCATCAATAACAATCAGGTACTTGTTTTGTCTAAGGAACCCAAATAGGTTGGCCTCTATCTCTGCATTGTTCTCCCAGTTCTTCTCCTCTACTCCGACTTGTCTTGTTATGTCTTTCAAAAGATTTTTCACTCTTGGCTTCTGAGAAACATAAACCCCGGCACGGCACTGATATTTGGCTTGCTCGGAATTATAAACTTTCTTAGCAAAGCGTAGTTTTACCAACACCTGTCATTCCAACAACTGATATAACACAATACTTCCTCGAAAATCTGTTTCAAGTTCTTACGAAATTAAATGAAGAAGTCAATACAGTGATTGAACTTGGGAGAAACTATAAATTCAATAGGCGAACTATAAATTCAAAAGTCAAAAGTCAAAAGTTTGAATTGTTTGACCACATAAAGTTCGGGTTTAACAGATGTACATGGCTTGTGGGTAATTGCCGCTTCACCTTAAAAAATGGGACCTAATGTCAATCTAATAATTTTGAATGATTAGATCAGTAAATTAAATCAAAATGACATTGCTCTTATGTAAATTGATCAGAAAATGTGTTACAATTGCAAAGTCGTCAAGAAATGCAACCATTTTGTTGCTTGGGACAAGCAAGTCAGCAGGAATAGTTGGCTTTTTGGCTTTCGGCAAGGACTTAATGATGCAAAATTATTGGATTGGTTATGAGCTCTATTTAACATTAGAACTCACAATGGACTACTTATGAGCTCTATTTAACATTATAACTCACCACTAATTCAATGATTGTATTGAAGTCCCATTAATTTTTTTTTCCTGGGGGAGGGGGAGAGGAACTTAAACTCTTGACCTCAAGAAGGTAAAGTCTTCACAAGACAATGTGAAGGCTTTTTGGCTTTTGGCAAGGACTTAATGATGCACAATTATTGGATTGGTTATGAGCTCTATTTAACATTAGAACTCACAATGGATTACTTATGAGCTTTATTTGATATTATAACTCACTACTAATTCAATGATTGTATTGAAGTCCCATTAATTTTTTTTTCCTGGGGGAGGGGGAGGGGGAGGGGGAGGGGAACTTAAACTCTTGACCTCAAGAAGGTAAAGACTTCACAAGACAATGTGAAGGCTTTTTGGCTTTCGACAAGGACTTAATGATGCACAATTATTGGATTGGTTATGAGCTCTATTTATCATTAGAACTCACAATGGATTACTTATGAGTTCCATTTAACATTATAACTTACCACTAATTCAATGGTTGTATTGAAGTCTCATTAATTTTTTTTTCCTGGGAAAGGAGGAGAACTTAAACTCTTGACTTCAAGAAGGTAAAGCTTTCACAAGACAAAGAGTTTTATTAGATAATTAGGTCTTTAAATAAGATCCCCAAATAAAGTGTAAATAACATTTTTCATATTTAATACATGAGATTTTAACATTTCATTTGGAATACAAAATTTAGTAAACAATTTTGGCCGCATAGTTTTATTCAAGAAAAAATTTCTTTGTGCTTGAAATTGAAGTTTCGGTCAGCCTTAGAATCAGTAGGTGGCTGCTGTAATGTTCAACTTTTTCTCCGTGGTCTGAGCAATATTCAATCTTTTCTCCTGTTATCAACACCCTTCCTTTGTAATACTGTATATAGCTTTAGCTGTGCCACAGACTCGTGCATGGAACGGTAGGTTTGAACGTCTGCTGGAAAATTGGTTGTTGCAAAGTTTGGGCCCTCTCTCTCTCTCTCTCTCACACACACACACACAGTAAATCATCTCCATCTTTTCTTCCTGTCCGGCTCACCCAAACCATGGTATGTTTGATCAATCTCGCATATAACAATATAATTTCAAATGGGTTACAATTATTTTATCTAATCAATTAGTTGGGTTCTTAATTCTTATGCATTTAACAGTGATTTTCTGCTTTATTTCTGTGGCAGTCTCTCACAGCTTTGATGTTCCGGTCACTGGTGAGGTTTCTGTCATCTTTTGTGGATGAACCAGCAGTTTCTATAGCAACCATACTGCACTACAGTGATCTTCTTCCTCAAAACACCATCTTAGAGACATTGGTTGAAGACGCTTTGCTCCATCCAGAGAACTATCTGTTCCATTTCCTCATCAACTTGTTGAAATGTTTTTGGTAGATACATTCAAGGGTGAGGCTTGAAGTAGAGGTAAAATTTGGGCCACGGGGTCGATTTCTGGAAATAGTCATTCTTGCGTTCATTTAACTCTAGACCCTGCAAATGCCGGACTCACCCACGGATAGGTAGTTTTGATTTTCACTATTTTTGGTTTCACATATTCCATGGTGAAGCGGTTCTTTTGATCTACATTCCTGACTGCTGATATAGTTCTTGCTTATTTTCTGTCAAATTAGTATGTTATCAGACACTTGCATGGTGATGTTTGTGTCATTATACTGAATTATACCAATTGGGGAATAAATTTGAAGTCTGATCTAATTTTTATTATCTTGGGGTCTATTTATTCTTGATATTGAACTCCATTGCAAGCAGTTTGTCTGTCTATCCAATCCTAGAGCCATTACATATCACATACAAAGTGAATTTGATTGCTTAGTACCATCAGTCTCATTTATTGATTCAAAGTTAGTTGATCGATCCAGATCAGATGGTAGAATCTTACACGGTTGTTGCGGACTGCACCATCCATTAGCCCCATGGACTAACTGGCTCACTTTTCCCAGCCCAAGGCCATGGGCCATTCTGCGAACCTTACGGTGTAAATATTTATTGTAACTCTGATATCACCTTAGCATTTTTTTTTTTTTGGTCATGAAAATAACTTCTATATTAATACTCCAACTTGCTGTTACAGAATATATATGTCAACCTATACCATTCCTTTCCTCCTTCCTAAGTACATTCATAAGAAAATCAGTGGGATTAACTAACTCTTGAGAGAGGGAAAATCCTCTTCTAGCTTGAGTTGCTAGAGTATGTGCTGCCATATTTTGTGATCTCCTCACGAATTGCAGCTGGACCAAAGGTATTTGCTGGAGGTACTGCCAAATATCCTTCTGGATAGATGATGCTATCTCCCTAATAGGAGCTTCAAGGCCCTTACTCAATGAGTCCATAAAGTACTTAGCATCAGACTCAATTATTACCGCTTGGTACCCATCCTCTAGTGCCATTCTGGAGGCTTTTCTTACTGCATATGCTTCTGTGACTATAGCAGACGATACCCCAACTGTTTGTGCTTTCCCCAGTGATCCATGAGCCCTCATGATTTCACACCACAATTCTATAAGCTCCTTCCTTAGCCTTTGCTTGATATGCTCCATTAAAATTAATCTTCACCCACTCCATGGGAGGAGGCATCCAGTTAAGTTATACACATTTTAGAGTACTTTACTGTACCTGTTTTCCACTACTGCTATGCAATTCTTCAACTGCCATCACAGCTCTATTAACAGTAAACTTACTTTTAGGTTCACGTTAGCATTGAATGTCATGTTATTTCTATATTTATTGTTATATTATTGTGATAGTCGCTTTATAGTTTGTGTGGGATGTTTTCTTTCAATAGAGTGTTTTTTCTAAAAATTATTAGACTTTCATCAATTACTGTCAATTTAGAGTATGCCATGAAATTTATGAATTGTGAATAAGTTGATATTTTATAGGAGTTACGCTTTTAGTTGAAATTTTGCTAATTTTTTTGTTTTGAAAAAATAGTGGGTTAATCATGTTATTAAACAAAAAGAAGAAAAAATAAATTGTTTTTTAAAATATTTAAATCACACAATTCATAATCGATTTTTTTATATTACATTGTGTCTATAGACAGGGTTATTGCTAGTAAATAAATAAGTGGACTCCACTTTTTTCCATGGAATAGTTATTATTTTACCCAAAAGAGTATGGTCCATTTCAACCCTCACTTATCGAGTTATAATTGGACGATTGCTCTTTATAATAATAGTTTCAGACGCCTTTCTTTACCATAAGCCCTCAAACTAAGAGAAGAATAAGGAACAAGGATAAGAAGGATTCAAAACTGGAAAATCCCAACAAAGAAAGAAAAAGGGATGGTGAAAAAAGAGAATAAGAAATCATTCAAAGCTATATTGACACAAAGCTTGTGAGGGTCATTTGCAATCGTGATATAATGCCCTACAGCCAATTGCCAAGCATAATAGTCCAATGTCATGATAATCCCAACTGCTAACTTATCTCCACCCTCCACTGTCCCACTCCACGAACCTATAATACTCCAGTATTTATGTTAAATAAGCAATGAACGACGGCTCTTTTATGGTGGAGTTTTACCTCCCACGCTACATTATACACAGTTATATAATCAACACATATAGTTTCTTTTTCTTCTTCATCTTCACGCTACCCTATACACAGTTATATAATCAACACAAGTATATCTAAGTGAAACAGGTAGGTTCACCCGTTTCTTGAAACTAAATGAGTTCATTTTACCTAGTTAGACAAGCAAAGGTCTAGTATTGGTTGTAGCCCGTAGATGGTAGTCATTTTGGGGAAGTATATCTAGCAATGAGTTGGATTGGGTTAGTCTTTTTAGGGAAAGTATATCAAGTTGGATTGAGTGAAGTCTAAGAATGATTTCAAGAATTGTTAACAGTTATACCGAAGTAATCTTCAAGTTGATTGATCGATATAAGAGGGTAGAATCCAACATGATTAGTACAGACTAAACTATCAATTAGTCCAATGGATTAATGGCTAGTTTTTCCAGCCCAAGGTCATGGGCCTTTTGATGACCTTATATATACTATTTTATTACTCTATTTATTATAACAACGGTTACATCACGTTAACATTATCACATAATGTAACCGTTAATAAATAAGTAAATAAAGAGACTCTACTTTGTTATATGGAATGGTTAAAGGGTAATTATTTAAAAGAGAATAGTTAATTTTGTTCGGAGTTATAATTAAAAAATTAAACCTCGTGATCATTGTACCATAAACCACTTTCTAGACTTTTACTTTACCATAAACCCCTAAACTAGGAGAAGGTAAACAAACAAGGATAAGAACGATTCAAAACTAGGAGAAAGAAAAGAACGAGAACGAGAACGATTCAAAACTAGAAAATCCCAAGAAAGAAAAAGGGTGTTAAGAAATGAGGAAAAGAAATCATTCAAACGGATTTATTGACACAAAGCTTGTGAGGGCCAAAAGGTCATTTGCAATCATGATATAATGTCCTACAACCAACGGCCAAGAATAATACTTCAATGTCATGGTAGCCCCAACTCCTAACTTATCTGGGCCCTCCGCTGTCCCACTCCTTGAACCACAATCCCTCATCCAAGCCATGGACCCACCAACCTTCCCAAAATGTGCCGCAACTTCGCAACTTTAAAGTTCATATACTTGTCGTTTTTGATTTATAATGGCAGTAGGGTACCCAGTTGTAATTAATAAAAGTGCATGATAAAATACAAATTGTATTGTGATTAAAATATAAGCAGACAAATTTCTTGTAATTAAAATGTAAATAGAAAATTTTATTATGATAAAGTGTAACTTATAAAAATTCACAGTCAAATATAAACAATTTGTGTTGTCATTATGCTTTTAATTCTGTTTTATTATATAGATTTCTTGTAATTCGTAAATCATATTAACATAGGTTTTTTTTCCTATGGTATGAAAATTATAGTATAAAAAGTATGATCCAAATAAATTGAATTATAACTTGATAGAGTTGCTTAATATCCACATACCAGAAAGTGGAGATTTAAAATCTATCCAAAAAACTTAAGTGGATCATTAATTGAGTAAATTATACATATAGCTCTTAAACTATAATTATTGTGTTAATTAAGTTTTTGAATTTTTTTGTATCAATTAAGTCATTTTATCTGCCTCTGTTAGGTTTTCTACTCAAAAGTGGCAAAGCGTGCAAACACAAATGGTTGGTCCTCGATCTATGACTCTTGTGTACATTAGGTTTTTATATATTTTTTGTATAAATTGAACTCCTCAACTCTTTAATTGTGACAATTGAGTCATTTTATCTTTTTGTATCCGAGGAGTGACACGCTCTAATGGAGGCCGACAAAAGAGTTTAATTGGTACAAAAAAAAATGAAGAATTCAATTAATACAAAGGTCATAGTTTGAAGAGTATATATAGACAAACTATAGGGGAGGTGATGGTAAATAAACGAAAGGATCAGACTATAATTTGAAATGCGTTTGACGCAAGTCAATTACAAGACGACTCTTTTTATAGTGGATTTCTACCTCACACACAACACTATACACAGTTGGAATACCTGCTGCTGCTGCTTCTCCATTAACCACATTTCAATTTTCAAGCTTGTGTTAATGGCGTATGTAAGCCGTGCATAATTTGCACACACTTGAGCTAATCTTACTCTCTCGGTTGAAGGAAAACGAAAATCAAAGATGCTGGACGGATTACTAGGGCGAAACTTTTGCTCCAAATGGTCAGTTCTAAAAAAACCCAAATCCAATCTCTCTATGTAAATATCTGTGCGTGTATATCCGTTTTGCATTAATGGACATTTTTTTTTTGTTGTGATGAAGTAAATCGCTGACTAAGCCTACGAGAACGCGAATTGAAGCTTTAAGGAGGAGAGCGGAAGCGAAGCAGAGAATTTTGAAGGAAGATCTTGCGAAATTGCTCTATAATGGCCTCGATATCAATGCCTATGGGAGGGTAATTAATTATTTTTGGTTTTGTATTTGGATTTCGTAATTGCACTTTTTTCTTTTCAGATTTTTGGTCCGGCTATTTTTAAGTTTGAATCTGTGGTTTAGGACTTGTTTGGTTGATAAGAATTGTGGGAAAGAAAAAAAATAAATATTATAGGGTTGGAGCGTCTATCATAGAATAATTGTTAACTGGGGAATTAGCACCAGAAAACCTAAATTTCACTTGAGTGTCGTTTACATGATTATTTACCTTAATTTTTAATGTTTTAAGGATAGTTACTTAACAAAAAAAAATTGAAGCTTGGTTTTTTTTATTGAAAGAATGTTATATCACAGAAAATGGCATTCATTTAATTCGAAAGATGCAAACGGATTCAGTATAGGCACCATTTAGATGAATTTCTCATTATCCAAACTTAAGGCTCACTGTTTATTTTTGTACTGACAATGTGTTAATATTTCTAAAACAGAACATAGAACAGAGAACATAGAACATATTAAATGTTGTGGTTCTCATCCTTGTTTGAAGCCTTATAATGTACTTGAAATATTGATCGGCTGACTAACATTGATATTGATGGGAACATATTTTAACCAATAATATATCCTCCTCCTGGTTGATCCTAGACATCTGCACTAATATGTAGTGGTTATCTATGGCGGTGGCTTAAGATAATTTGGAGCCTAAAACGATACTTCTAAATGAGGTCTTCAACGTTGAGTATTAATATTTTTTATTTAAAATTAATTTTTCTTGCTTTTTTGAGTTGCAAAAGTATTAATTAAGTTTTTATATTCAAGTTTTGCTACTATATCTTTTTCAATTGATAATATTGCTAATTCAATTAATCTTTCTTGTGACATAATCGATCTTAAATAAGATTTTATTAATTATAATTTTGAAAAACTTCATTCCGCAGAAGTAACTGTTACACGAATTGTTAATAATATTCTATAATCAATGCATGTATATGGAAAAGAATCTAACTTTTTTATATAATTTAGTATCTCAATTGGAGTATTTTCTTTCGTTTGTAAAATTTCTTTTAAAGCATTTAGTTCTAAAAATATATCTAAGCCATAAAATATTTTCTATTTTATTATCCTTTATTTTATTATTTTTTATTTCAATATTTTTTATTTCATTATCTTCTATTTCAATATTTTCTATTTCAATATTTTTTATTTTATTCTCTTATAATTCATTATCTACTTATTTATTTTCAAAATTTTCATCTAAATTTTTTGTTACATTATTTTTGTTACTAGTAACAAATTTATCAAGAGATCTTTTTTGAGATACTATTAGTTGGTCTATTTTTTATTTTTTTTAATTTTTCATATCCACTTGGTTGTTTTCTAGGCGCCATATTATTAATATATTATAACTATATAACAACCAAACAAACTCAATATATAGTATAGTTAAAATATATAACAAAAAAATTTAAAATTATGAAATAATAGAACTTTGAATGATTTCAAATGTTGGCTTTTAATTCTGAACCATGTCCCTTATGTTACAATGAAAACTCAAGTCGATAGAGGATGGAGACCGAGTCACCTTCACCGAGCTATCGAGTCACCATCTCACATTACTATGAGTCTGTGAGTTCAGAGCACTCTGTGTGTGTGAGAAAAAAAGAGAGAGAGAGAGAAGAAGAAGAAGAAGAAGAGTTTTTTGTTTTAGTTTAATTGAGAGAGAGAAAGAAAAAAAGAATTGCTTTTGAATTGGTTTACCGAGAGAGAGAGAGTGTTAAAAGTTAAGGTAATGATTTCACTTTTGAGTTTCTGATTTTTTTTAATTTGATGTGACCTTTAAGTTCAATTTTTTTTTTACTGTTAATTTTTTAAAAATATTTAATATTGGATTGGGCTATGGGCCTAAATGATTGATTGGACTTATATTTTTATAAGACATTTTTTACATAGGTTATTTATGGTATTTAAAATTTTGCGGCCTTCCTTTGAAATGGGGCTTAAAACCCAAGCTTTTTAAAATGTGTTGTTGGGCCGGCCTTGGTTATCTATAACATATATTTATTCCATACTTTAGTATTCCCTTACAAAAGTATTCTTTTATGCGAGGATATGAAATAGGCGGAAGAATTTCTTGCTGGATTGAGCCTCTTGTCTTGTTATGATTATATTGATCACTCTTGTGAATACATAGTGAAGCAGCTCTCAAGCATGCAAAAACAAAGGTATGAACAGATAATATTGCATTGTTACCTAGCAACTGGTTGATGCTGTCTGAATTTTAATTTAGAAAAATGTTATATAAACTCGCTGCGCACACTTTTTATTCACGAATGTGACATGCCAACGGTAGACATTGATGTACCAAGTAAAACTCTTTAAGAATGACATATCATGTTCAGGACAGTTATAAGCCAGCCACTTTATCATTTCAGTTGGTCAGGTTGTTCTGGCAAAAAGTCCAGTAAAATAGATTGATCAATACAATAAGAATTCGTTAATCTATATCATTTTTGGCAGTGAAGATTGGAATTCTCTTTATCCCCATGAATTTGACATTTGTGGTCTGATCTGATGAGTGAGAGCCTCAGTTCTTAGATCCTTTTTGACCAGCCATCCTTTTGCTTACATCCATTTTGTTGAGGTGTTTGAAACTGTAACTTGGACCAGAGGTTCGTTTGGAGTCTTTTCCATCAACAATGTATGATCAAGCTGTCATACTTCGTTGACTTGGATTAGATTTTAGACTCCCAGACCTAGTTTCATTTCAATTTTTAAAAGTTCAGAACACATTTTGATTTGGAACAATGACTTATAAAGATTCCCTTTCATAACTCCAAATGGTATTTGGAGATAAAAGTTCAGAGTGGATAAATGAGATGTAAGGTGGCATTAGGGGGGGATAAATGTCGGCACTTGATATAATCCTGCACCAGGAACTATGCTTATCTCAACTTAGAGGAGTTCGTTCTGAATTGCCATCAATCCATCGAGTGACATTTTTCAGGCTTCAGATTCAAACAATTTGAGTATGATATTGACATTACCTCTCCATGCTTTTCTTTTCCAGTGAATGTCCTGAAGAATTTAGGGAGGTTGTGGCATCCCTGATGTTTGCAGCTGCAAGATTTTCTGATTTGCCTGAATTGCGTGACCTCAGGGATCTATTTCAAGAGAGATATGGAAATTCGTTTGAATACTTTGCTAATCAAAAGGTAGTGCTTCACTTATCCATTCTACTTATGGCATCAGTAACTACATAGGGCTGCTTATGTGTATAGCCAGCTTAATTGTTTATTTGTAGTTCGTTGAGAGGATAGCCATGAAGCCTCCCACAATGGAGAAGAAACTCAAGCTACTGCAAGACATAGCATCAGAATTCTTAATAAAATGGGACTCGAGAGATTTTGAAAAGAGGATGGCTGCTCCCCCTGCATTAGCCCAGGTATGCACTTTGTTTTTTTGAGTTTGATAACGGAGAAAAATAATGCAAATTATATCTTCATAATTCAAGGAATTTATCAGATCTACCCTCAAAGTATCTTCTGTATACTATTCTATCCGAGTAATTCTGCAGAAATTAACTTCATCAGAGCATACTGTTTAAAATCTCATCAAGACTAAAGTATTCCGCATATTATGGGACTGATTTACAGGACCAACCTAAGAAATATGGGTCTTTCCATGTCACTGAGGATCGAAACAAATTGCCAAAAGCTGATAAAAAGGATGTTTCATCCAAAGAGAACAGTAAGCTTCCAGATAATGGTCGTGGATTGTGTACTGGAACGGAGGGCAATGTCTTGAGAAGAGATGAATTGGACCTTCAGCTCTTTGGAAGAAGGGAGTTCCCCAGTAATGGACACAACTCGGTTTCCAGTAAGGGAGGAACTATTCTGAAAGGAGACATCAATAACCTTTCACACCGAGGAAGGCACGAATTCACTGCTGATAAGCAAGGGCCATTGAATGAGAAGGATGTTAGAGCCATAAAGTCTGTTAGATCAAGCAATACATCTCATGGTAAAAAGTTGAAATCCATTAATAGTGGATACCTTCCACACAGTGATAGGGTTAATATTGTCTCTAAAGCAGAAAGCCAGGATCATTTCTCTCATGGAAAATCAGAAGTTGGAGGTATTTGTGTACGACAATCTGTAAGGAGTGATGATGGAGATGCCTCCTATGCGTCTAATGACTATGCCAGTCACCAAAATGTAGTTAACTTGACAAGAAAACTGCAGGAGGAAGAAGCAGATAAGTCAAAATCGTACTACAGTGGTGCCCTTCCTCCGCCTTACGTTAAATCAAAAGATAATGTAATCCCTCCACCATATATTAAGCCAAAAAATGGCAAACATGAATCCGGCAGAGTTTCTAAGAATGCGGGTTCCGACGGTGATGGATTTTCCATGGATACTTCACCCCATGATAGGGGGAAGGCAGTTGATAGTTCAGACCGTAAAGTAGATCATTCTGGCCAGGAGTGGCAAGGTCGTCGACCTGCTAGAGTAAAGAGTCATGGTCATGAGAAAGATCATCATTACCAGGATGATATACCCTTGCCAAAACCAAGATCCATTAGGAGGAAACACTCAAAGTTCTCATCTGGCCATGATGATGCCTGCAGTTATGAAGATGGTGGGTTTCCAAAGAGAAGTTCAAGTAGCAGGAGAAGAGAGCATTCAAGAAAGGACCTGCAGATCTTGTTCAATGATGAGCATTATCAGAAAGATGACGAGGAAAGGATGATAGATAAACTGTTATTACATTACAGTAAAAAACCATCAACCTATGGCGAGGGAAAGTTGAGAAAAAGATCGCAAGCTCATCCTTCACATAAGATAGCTCCTGATGCTGGTGATGACTACTACAATCAAAGCAGGGATGGGCATGCTGTGAAGTCCGAAATGGTTCCTACTCCCACCAGATCCGTTTCTCTTCCCCGTGAGCAAACTGTTCCATCAGAGGCCACGAAGGTTTTTACTCGTGTCAGCTCTTTCCACCCAGATAACCAGGCACGACATGTGCATCCCAAGTTACCAGATTATGATGATTTGGCTGCCCGTTTTGCAGCCCTGAGAGGGCAGTAAAGGGTAAGAGCGCTGAAACTTTAGAAGTTGCTTCCTCTCTTATTTGCATGACCGTATCCTATTTCCTCGCTTCAATTTGCATGGTGGTTCTTGTGCAGTCTGCAAGAACCTTTTACTCCCAGGAAGGGTTATCCTCTAATTACAGATGATTGAATTCCTATGGTATAGTTTGGCTTTCGAATTGCATGAACCTTCCAGTTCCCCATTATTCAGAGTATAGCCCTACATTGTTTCCTCCAGTCCATAAAATGAGATGCGTTTTGCCTGGCAGCTGTGGGGTGCTAGCTTTGATCCTTTTCTGTTTTCCATTTGTTGCATCCTTAAGTACTAGATACTTGGTTTGATTGCATTTTTGTGAAGTACTCGGTTGTAAAAGTAGGAAACAGAAAAAGTTTAGTGTGAGATTGCTACTGTTTTATTTTCCACTGCTAATGATAAACATCCGTTTCAATATAGTCCATTTTTAGATGATGATTGCTGCTATTTTATCACCTTACTACAGAGAATGATGACACACCATTTCAATACAATCCTTGATGTTTTCTTTTTGTTTTTTTGTACTAATAGGTATCTACTCTTTTTAGAGTAGCTGACTAATCCTTTAGGGTACATGCCGTCTTAAATGAATTGAGTAGTTACCAATACAAGACATTCTTGGGAGGTCCCAAGAAAACAGTCGAAACTCAAGTCCTCCAGTTTTGCTCGGTGGAGGTTAGCGTTTGGCCTAATGGTCATTGTCTTTTTTGTTGGACTTTAAAGTCATAGATTCTCTCTCCTATAATAGTGACCGACCAAAAATAAAAAAAGTTTTGCACAGTAGACTCCTAACCAACTTATCTGACCAAGTTCGTGTTTTATATCGGGTACATTGGTGTTAAAACTGAATGTTTCCAAACACATTTTATAACGAGAAATAATATGTTTACTAAATATTCTTACTAATTTTTTTATGCCAAATGACGGGACTTATCTCTATCATCAGATAAATGAATTCTATTAATATTGAATTATGGAGATCGTATCACGTCATTTGGGAGCAATGGAGCATTGCTTTTTTACGACTTGTGTCTGTCAATGTCCACAAAATTTTTGGTGGCTTGTTAGTCAATGTGTTATTATCCGTTTCTGAAGAGTGACTCTGGTGACAGAGTCGAGGATAACGAGTCCATTTTTTGTGAAAATGACCAAATTGACCTACATTCAGAAAGCCTTCACTTGATCAGAACAAAAGCCTAGTCCCAAATTCCTTACAAGATTCCCTTCCTCTCTCTCTCCTTTCTTGTAACAGGTGCAGGGCTCTTTCCCGCCAAAAAAGCTTCTATCTTCCATTTATAACAGTCCCATTTTCGTTCCTAAATTCCCAGAGAGAGAGATGAAGGGCACAACTAAGGTGATTATGGGAGCAACACTAATAATGGTGGCGAGCCTGGTCATAGTGTTATCCCTTGTCCTGGTGCTATTAGCTGAGCTCTACTGCTCTCTCTTACTCCGTCGGCGACAAATTCGAAAGCCAACTTCCAACACCACCATCTCTGCCGGTGATTCCATCTCTCAGCCCCCACCACCCCTTGACCAATCAGCTCCTCCATCTCTGGGTAGCTTTTATGCTCAAGGGGTTCTTCGAGCCCCAAGAAGCTTCCTCTTCCCTGCAGTTTCTGGCGATGACAAGCTGGATTTGGAGAAGCAAAATTCTCAGTTTCCTCAAGCCTATGAATCCCAAATTCAACAACATTTCACCCCTCGGGTTGGGCTGTGTACATCTGACCCATCCCAGAATTCATGGTGGCAAAAATCTCGTGCACTAGATTCCATTTCTCAGGTTGGGCTTCAATCTACCTCGCCACCCTCTCCTTCCTTCATACCAGCAGCCTCACCTAAACCAGTTCAAAAGGTTCCGCTTCAAGGCACTAATTCCAGTACTTCTGAAAATAGAGTTTTAGCAGGTCTTAAGCATCATTTCATGTGCATATCCAATCCGATTTACGACGTCCAAGCCGGCCAGCCAAGCAGGGTAGTGGACACACCATTCGAAACGCCGGACACCTCGCCATCTCGCTTAGAAACCAAAGATTCTTCCGGCGATGATACAAGAGACGTATCACCCTCGTCTAGTCCCTCCTCACTCCCAATCACCCCTCCATTAACTCCGATGAAGAAGCTACCGGTGGAGGCATGTTCCATCTCTCTTAGAGATGGTCGGTGTGTTGGCACGTCTGGTAGTGATTCCAATAGTAATAATGGTGATCTTTCTTCCTCCTCATCAGGATCTCCTTCCACTTCTCCTTCATGGTGAATGGTTCATGTCATAGTCATGTAGTCAAAGCTTGTTCTTGGGCTTCTTGTGAACTTTTTTTGTGCTTGTTAGTTTGTTAATATTGCACTGGTGATGGAAAAGCTGGTTGTAAAGAGAACAGTAAGACCGTTGTTGGAACTTTTCCTCCTCCACTGTGACTATTTGGCTCGCCAACCCAAGCCACGCCTATGCTAGCAAAAACTTCTTTTTGCGTATCTATGTCTTCAACCATTATAGAACAGGTCTATTACATTGCAATGATACCAATTTTTCACACGACACAATGTGGAGGATAGAGTTGATTAGTTCTGCTATATATTTGATAATTGATATGATTTGCTTAACACGAACAACGAACGGGTCGGATTAGTATCAGGGATAGATATGCAATCCAAAATGTCAAAAGAAAAAGAGAAAGTCTTTTAAACAACCAACCCAATATAAGAATTATAGTTTACCCCCACTTAGAACAAATGGAGATTGTTGAACAGGGAAAAAGCGGCACTCGACATCTATGAAACAACATTAAGAACAAAGCTAGACCATGCTCTCAGGAGAAAATAGTGATGATTTTAATACGATTAATTTGTTTAACTAGTATTATATAACATATTATACAAATCTTTGCAAAATTAGATGTTTTTCACAGTTTTGTTAGCATAGAGATTTTTGGTGGCTTACGGGTGGTCGATTTGGTTGAGAGAAAAATGAATCTTAGTATTTAGGTTTTTGGTTAAATGGTTATTCCATTGACACAAATATGACACATTTCTAAGCAACAAATCGGGTTAATGTCTAGATATATAATGGGTTGTTTTAGGGCCCCAAAATGAACTAGAAATGACAATACAGAAATACCTGTTGATTATTTAGGTTTTGTTACATCATTCATTTATACTGCAGATTTAGTATTATGGTCAGTTTTAACATTTTCTGTATTATATTTGCCTGCTTTTGTGTCTTTGTGGAGAGGCATTCTTTGTCTTTCATGGGAGAACAAAACAAGTCTCTGTCTGACTCTTCTTTTAGTGTTGGGATTGCGAAGATGCATGTGAAGAGGTGGTCGACCAAAGACCACGTTATGCTGATTTCTAGGCATTTTACCCAAAAAAACAAAAAACAAAGCTGTCAACCGTGTTGTGTCTTGGAAAAGACTATTATTAAGGTAGTATCCTATTAAAATTTAAAATTTTTTAAAATATAAATTAGAACTGTATAATAGATCACAAAATATCAAAATAAATCATTATAAATTACAACTTATGATCGATTATGAATTTAATTCAATAAACTATTATTATTTTATAGGTAGAATTACTGAATTACCCCGTGTGTCTTTGTCCACCAAGGAAAACGACGACTCCTGATGGTTTCGACCCATGGCAAGACCTCCGATGAAGCAAAGAAGTTTCCTGTTTCTGCCTTGAATTGATTTGAGTCTGTCATTTTGCTTGACCTCATGATTCCTTTCATTATGTCTTTCTCGACTTGGTTTTCTGGGCATGGTGAAAATGCGGAAGTCTACGCTACCCAACAAAAAATATACAAATTTACGTACCACACCACCATTAATCACTTTTTTCTTGATCCAAAGTATCAAAAAAATAATAAAAATAATTATCACAACGGTAATAAAAATTATTATACAATAATCACAAAAATTATAAAAACATTCATTAAAGTAATAAAATTTAAAAGTACGATATTATTTTTTTTTTTTAGTACCATAGTCAAAATCCACAAACTTTATACAACTGTGCTTTTATGTTTTTCCTAGGAAACAACGTGAAATTCATCGGTGAAGAAATAAGGGGTATCTGTGCATTCGATATGAAATTTGAATTTAATTTTGAAAATTAGAATTGTATACAGGTCAAACAGTTAGGTTCTTGAAAAAAATAAGTCGAATAAAATGTAACTAAACATGACACGAATCAATTTAAAAGGGTTCACACATGAGAACAAATTGAACGCGACACAAATTTAACTAGTAGACTAATAACTGAGTTGAACAAATCGTTAAATGGCATAATTTAAACAAGGCACGATCCTCGACAACCCAAGTTTCATTGTGACCTGCTGATGCATCACAAGTTCAAGTGAAAACGGGTGTAGAAGGCCCAAGTCTAAACCGTAATAATCTTTCTACAAATAAGATTAGGGCTACATCTTGCATCAAAAAATCTCAACTAATACATGCAGCAAAAAATCTGATTCCCTTAGTTGATGGTACAAATCAAAAACCCTTTTTTTTGCTTGATTTCATCGCATTAGAAAAGGGCAATCCAATCACAAGGCTAAAGTTATTATGGGATTTTGGGAGGGTTTGGGGTATACAATCTTGCCCACCTGGGGATACATTATTATCTTGATCCAATACATGAAATTTATCAATTATGTGTAAGTTATGCTTAATTGATAAATTTTCTTTGGAAACTGGTTTCAGTGCCACTATGCTACGTCACAGTTTGAGTTTCACAACCATTTCTTGTACATGAATGAGCATGGAAGACAATTCAATGTGCCACTAGCTTCTGTCAGAGAACTTACAACATGGAAACACCAAATACCCACAAACATGACTCAAGTATAATGCTATTTGAACTTCAACTTGGACGGGCGCCATAATGAATTCCCTTCTCATGGATCATAATCTTTGAGAATGTTTTACCTGTAAGAAAGAATTAAGTTGGCAGCATAAACAAAATGTAAGAAAACGTACCAGCTTTATCTTTCCCCCTATTCACTCGGGGTTCTTAAGATGTATGGAAAGGGCAACCCAATTTACAAGGCTCCTGTCACAGCAGGATTGGTAAAATATTGGGGTTCTGAAAAATAGTAATTCAATTGGGAATTACATTGTGTAGGTATGTGCTACCTAGTCTCGCCTACAGGCTTCATGGTTAGGGGAAGAGAAGAGCAGAGAAACTTGACTCTTTTTTTTTTCCATCTTCTACAGTATTAAAAGAGACATGGGAGTAGGAGGGCTGAAGAAGTTTCAAAATAGGTGCATTGGGACAATTTTAAGGGGTATGACATTCCAGCCCAATGAACTTGAAAATGGTCTTTAATGGATCCCATCTCATCCTTTCTCTTCCTTTCCATTGCTAAACTCGTGAGATTTTCAAGCTTTTCTTCTTTTCTCCCTCACCATCCTTTACCTTTAAGGTAATTAACACAATGAGCGTGTCATATGTGACGAAAAAACAGCTGGGCTCACATTGAAGGCATATCCAAAACAAAAATGAAACCCAA